TGTGTGCCAGGTGGGCGCGTATGTATGCGTGTGCATGATTTATATGCCTGCTTCAGTTCTTGCTGCCCACGGGAATCTTTCTCTTGCAAATTGTTCTGGAGCTTAATTAGTTTTCTGGATTAACTAAGCTTCTTTCTTTCAACACATTATTATTAAGAATTGACATATGTAAAGAGGTCCAACCTCATCTTGCTTTATTCTGCGACCTCATTGTGTTTATATTGAAGGAGGCAGATTTTTAAAAATAGACTCATGTCTGTTATAGGTGAACATTCGTTATCTCTTCACAAGAAGCAGAGTTTGCAAGAAGGACAGTCCTGTGGTGCCATGGTTGGGTTTCTCAACTTGGAGATTCAGAACGCACCTCTTTTTCTTCCTTCAGAAGGACATGGTCAATAGGTGCCCTACTTTCTGCCTCCAGAGTCCTTTCACTCTCCTCCTCTGGAGAAGTTTATTTTAACGCTGCCTATGAAAGGCATAGGAGCCCTGGTGGCACAGTGGTTAAGAGCTCAGGTGCTAACCAAAAGGTCGGCGGTTTGAATCTACCAGCTGCTCCTTGGAAACCCTATGGGGCAGTTCTGCTCTGTCCTGTAGGGTCACTATGAGTCGGAAGTAACTCGACAGCAACAGGTATGAAAGGCATAGGAGCCCTGGATGGTGTAAATGGTTAAGCACTCAGCTACTAACCAAAAGGTTGGTGGTTCAGATCTACCCAGAGAAAGGCCCGGTAATCCGCTTCCAGAAGATCACAGCCATTGAAAACTCCGTGGAGCACAATTCTCTGAAACACATGGGGTCTCCATGAGTTAGAATTGATTCAGTGTCAACTGGTTTGAGGTTTTTTTGGTTTCTGAAAGGCATGGTCTTTTTTTCTTGTGGAGTTATTTGGCCCACATTGTAGTGACTCTGAACATTACATTTCATGGGGCAGTCCTGTGCCATTTCACCTGTTGGGTTTGCTTTTCTGAGGGTCAGCAAACACTGTGCTTCAGGTTCCACAGTGACCTTTCAGAAAGGGGCTGGGCCATCAGAGTTTTGCTGGGTCTTTGAGGGTTGTAAAGCAAATAGGGTTCTTTTTATATCCACATGTGCTTCCCGTAGAGGAGAACCACAGCCAAGGAGACAGAATGGCACTATAATGGTAGAATGCTGGCTGTTCTCTAGCAGTCAGGGAGTTACAGCGATGCTGGAGATGCCCCTCAGCCTTCAGGGGTCTTTCTTATCACGTGCTGTTGTAGGTTTGTTCTGTCATTAGCTTTTATCAAATGATATCCTAATGTGTGTCTGCACGTTTGCCTCCATCATGGAGAGCAGGGCTCTTCGAGTACAGAGACTAGTCTCTCTTGCCTGCAGCTTCTCAGCACCAGCCCAGTGCCTCGCTTAGAGACGCCACTCAGTAAATGCTCAGAGAATGAGCAGCTGCATACGTTGAGGAGCTAATTAATTGAGTGAATGTGAACAGCCTTACAGCCCCTTTGGAAGGATAAGCTCTGCTTCTGCATGAAATAGGAAATGATTTGGGCAATTGCTGAGAGCTGTGGCCTGGTGCTCCCAGTGATTTCTAAAGCTGAACATTTGTTCCTCTTTGCCTGTTTCCATGGCAGTGACTTTAGCTCTCCCTCCGTGAAAGAGCTGAACTTAAAGAGAGACAACACAGACAACAGCTCTCAAATTAGAGAATGTTGAGTAGTAAGGAAATTAAGACACATCTCGATTCTCTGGTTGATTCTTTGGCACTGTGCGTGGGATGACATCACATTATGCCATTACTCTAGAGCCTGTACCCATTGCCATTGAATCGATTCTGAATCAAAGCAACCTATAGGACAGAGTAGAACTACCCCGTAGGGTTTCCAAGGAGCAGATGGTGGATTTGAACTGCCGACCTTTTGGTTAGCAGCGAAGCTCTTAACCACTGTGCCACCGGGGCTCCTACTCTAGAGCGGGGGCCATCAGACTTATTCTGCAGTAATTATTTTTGGCTTTGCAGGTCATATGGCCTCTGTTGCAACTACTCAACCCTGCTGTTGTAATGGAAAAGCAGCCACAGATGATACGTAAACAAATAGGTGTGGCTGTGTTCCAATAAAACTTTATTTACAAAAACAGGCAGTAGGCCTGATTTGGCCTGCAGGCTGTAGTTTTTTGACTCCTGTTCTAGAGTAGTACATGCGCTTTCATATATTGTTTTAAATTATTAAACTTTGTTCATTATCCTGTTCTTTTTCTGTCCTCTTGCTGTATCTGATAAAAGAATTGACTTATTTTAAAGAGCAAGACTTTTTTACAAAAATAATTTTAAAAGATGTGTGTGGTCAGGGTAGAGGGGAGGGGAATATATGTACATGAAACATGACTACGTGGAGTGTGCACAGTCCACCCCAAGACCCCAGTCAGCTCTACTCTGTCACCAGTCTCTTCCTGCTCCACCTGCCCTCCACATCCAGGACTCTTCCCACATGGCCCCGGGTCTCTAACTCTCTGTCCAGCCTGGTACAGTGGCCAGGGCCAGGCTAGCAGCTCTGCACTGGGCCCTTCTCTTCCTCTTGCTTCAGCCTTGATACAAGGGCAGGGCTGACTTTGTACTGACTGTTACCCCAGAAACCCTTTGAACCTTTTTATTTTCTTACCAAAGATCCTGGGTTAAATCTACAGTTTTTAGGTCTTCATTTCGAGTTAAAGGATCATCATGAGGCTGGAAAAGCCAAAGCTTTATGTCTGCCTTTTTGACTTCCACGAGGGCATGTGGTAGAGTCCAGGGGGCCTCATGTGAGCCTTGCAGCAGTTCTACCGTCTTTCTGTCAGGAGATCTACAACACTGGTTGCTAAGCAGCACACACGCTGTGACTCCTTCCAACAGTGTGACTTTTTTTTTTTTTGGAAACATTTGTCCACATGATTGACTCATGAATGGGGAATCATGTGGAAACACTCAGGGCAAACAGTTCGATATAACAGTGTTTATCCTTTTACTCTGTCTTCGGCATCTTTTCCTGAAGACTTATTCAGGGCCACGTGGAGAAGTGGTGCATGCCACTAGCCAGTGCAATTAACAAGCCGTATCATTAGGAACTCCTTAGTATATAATAGCAACATAACCCTCAAAAGAATCTATCTTCTGCTTCCCTGTTGAAGTCCCAGACACATCAGTTACAGTGCCTCTTCAGGGAATGTCTGCTCGGAATGGAACCTGACTCCCACTGTCTGGTTGTCAGCTTTGCTGGTGTCTGTGCCATGCTGCCATCTACATTGTGAAGGGAGCTCAGTGTTTACAGCCAGGCCTCGCTCCTGCTCCACACCCGCTTACCTCTCCCTCCCACTGCTTTCATCACTGACTATTTTGCTTGAAGGGAAGCCCTGATGTATTTTTAAACTGCCCTGGAACTGAGCCATAGTGAGCCCATTTTTCCCAGACTAACATGTTATTGGTCCCGGATGGAAAGGAAAAACCACTGCTCTTCCATCACAGCCTTTTCTCCTACAGGCCTAAAGCAGGTCATGTGTGAAATGGCTCCTCCCGTCTCCACACCCTAATCTCTGCTGACAGTGGCTAGCATCTCACACAGTCCGCTGAGCTGTGCACTCCCTCTGTGGGGAGCTGTGAGGAGGGAGTGGCTGACTCGAGGGGCTCCTAGCTGAATAGGGGACACGGACACAAATGTGAAGACAAACGTTTCTTACCTGGCATCATAAATACAACATACACAAACACAGGGCACAGAAAGCAAAGAGGGCGTCTCAGCCTTAAGGGTCAGGGAAGAACTCAGACAGGAAATGATATTTGGCAGCAGTCGAGAGGATGCAGGTTGAAGAAGTAAGCAGAGACCTTTAAAAAGCAAGGCAGGAAGAACTTAGGGGCAAATATGTTGTTAGCTGTTGTCAAGTCAGCTGTGACTCATAATGGCATTATGTATAACAGAACAAAATGTTGCCTAGCTCCGTGCCATCTTTATGATCATTGGTATGTTTGAGCCCATTGCTGCCTTCCAATCTAGGGGACACATCTTCCAGCACCATCATATCAGACAATATTCTGTTGTGATTCATAGAGTTTTAATTGGCTGTTTTTCGGAGGTAGATTGCTAGGGTTTTCTTTCTGGTCTGTCTTAGCCTGGAAGCTCTGCTGAAACCTGTCTACCTTGGATGGGTGCCACAGTGCGACAGACTGACAGATGGAAGGTGGTGGGGCAAGTATAAGGATGGAAAAACATCATCCATTCCTCCGGGTCAAATTCTTAAAAAGCCTAAAACACCGTTCATAGACCCTGGGGTCTCATCATCACCACTCACGGCACCGGCCCCACACGGCTTCTGCGAAGTCCCCAGAGGAGGCCTTTCTACAAAGTTCTGCTTTCTGTTGCTGATTGAGTGAGTGCTGGGGCCTCTGTCTGTGTTTCTCCACTTATAATCAGAGGACGGATGTCTGTTCCTTCCTCACCACTATTGAAAGTATGAGAGTTAAGAGACAGTGACAATAAAGTGATTGCAACTCCTTGACAAAAGAAACTTTGCATGGACTATAAACATATAGATCATCAATATAAGCTTTTGGTTGGGTGACCACTTTTCGTTGCAGGGACTGCGTGTGGGCAAAACTCACAGAGAAAGACCATGTGTGCAGCTAGCAGGCCGAACCCCTGGTCGCGAAGGCGTTTTCTCTTGATCCCTTCCCCTCGTTTCGATTCCCAGGCCTCATTATGTGCTGTATCATATGCACATGCACAGACACAGGAATACCCGCCACAGGCGGGACAGAGGTGGCAAGGGAGGTGTTTTGCATGAATTCCATCCTTGGGTTTAGAAGCACTTGCTCAGCTGCCAACTACAAATAGCCCCATGCTGGAAAAATGATGCTAATTAGTATGCCATTAAAAAATGGAGGAAAAAAATGCCCACAACAACAACAACAAAAAAAGCTACATGGAGACCTGAAGCCATACCCTGACAGCCAACATGAAGCATGGCCCGCTAATGCAGCCTTAATTCACTTTGCTATGCAGGGACAGCAAGCTCACCATGTTGCTGCGGGAATCCCTGGGGAACATGAACTGCCGCACAACCATGATCGCTCATATCTCGGCAGCGGCGGGGAACTACGCAGAAACCCTGTCCACCATCCAGATCGCATCGAGAGTCTTGAGGATGAAGAAGAAGAAGACGAAGGTAAGGAGTTTGCAGGGGGCAGGGTGGATAAAGGCGCTGTAGGAGCCCTGACCTGGTACAGCGTCAGAAAGAGCCAATCAGCATTTCCAATCCCCCTGTGCCAGGGGGCATGTGTAAGTGGCTCCTTGTGTACCTTGGGGACTGAAAACCTACTGGCTGACCCAGAGGCATCACTCCTGGTCTGTCCTGTGCACAGAGCTGGTGCTTTCCATGGTCATCCCATCTGCTATGGGGAGCACGTGGTCCACTTTAAACGTTACAAATGTATTACCACTTTAAGGTGACAGTTTTGGGGGGGATGGGCAATAGCCACAGTTTTTCTCTTGCCTGTCTTGGTCTAATGTAGACATTGTGTCCTTCAGCTGGTTGACTCCAAAGAGGATTACTAACCCCTTGCCCACTTGGCCCTACTTCTGCCTCCATTTCCGGGAATCATTTCCATTCTGCTGGGTTTTGCCGGGTTAATTCAGTGGTTTCAGGCTGATACTAAGAGACTGCTCAGAATCACAGGGCTCATTTCTTAGGCAGCAAAACCAGGGCAGTGGTGGCATGACAAGAGTGTTTGAAGCAATCAAAATTGTGGTCACTCAGGTCCAGGATCAGCTGGTGACACGTGGGACTTTTTTTTTCTTCTTCTTTTTGTACCTCCGTTGTATAAAGCAGCCCCTGAGTGGCACAAACGGTTAAGCACTCTACTACTAACTGAAGGGTTGGTATTTTGCACCCACTCAGACATGCATTGGAGGAAAGGCTTGGTGATCTGCTTCCAAAAGGTCACAGCCTTGAAAACCCTATGGAGCACAGGTCTACTCAGCACACATGGGGTCGCCATGAGTCAGAACTGACTCAGTGACAACTGGTCTGGTTTTTTGTATAAAGCAGAACTTTCTAACCAGTGCTGTGTGGCACAGGATGCCCCAAATGGCTTGGGGTGTGCCATATTGGAGATGCCCTCAGCCTTTGGGTGGCCAGGTGGGGCCTGGGCTGGTTGCCTCACTTTATGAGCATCCTCTCTGCTCTCCCAGTGTACCACACTGGGGTTACATTTTAGGTATAGCTGTGGTATGGAGAAAGTGGGCACACTGGCATGGACACCCCAAATAATGGCCCATACCCAGGGGGACAACGTGGCCTTCAGTAGTCTATGTCCAGTCAGCTGCCTTCACCCCTCACTGCATGCTGCTGGCTCACCCACTCTAACTACCCTCCTCTCACCCACAGTACACGTCGAGCTCCTCTGGGGGAGAAAGCTCCTGTGAAGAAGGCAGAATGCGCCGGCCCACCCAGCTGAGACCATTCCACACCAGGAATGCAGTGGACCCTGACTTCCCAATCTCTCACTTGTCCAGTGACCCCGACTACTCCTCCAGCAGCGAGCAGTCCTGTGACACGGTCATCTACATTGGGCCTAACGGCACCGCCCTCTCCGACAAGGAGCTCACCGACAATGAGGGGCCCCCTGACTTTGTCCCCATTGTGCCGGCCCTGCAGAAGACCAGGAGTGACAGCCGGCCCACAGAGGCAGGAGAGGCCACTGCCAGCAAGTCAGAAAGGGATTGCCTGAAGTGCAACACATTTGCCGAGCTGCAAGAGAGGCTGGATTGCATCGACGGCAGCGAAGAGCCCAGTAAGTTTCCTTTCGAAGAGCTGCCTGTCCAGTTTGGGGCAGAGCAAGTGAACAAATGCCCCTCGCTAAGCCAGGCAGCTGGGGCCAACTTACTCTCTGAGTCTGATAAGGAAGAGAATGAGTCAGATGACCAGCTGACCGAGAGGGAAGGCGCTGACTCCCCAGCCTCCAGGATGCAGCGGAATCACTCGCCCGTCCCAGCTGCGGCGCTCACCAGCAGCCCCAGCCCTGCTTCTCCCAGGAGCATCCCGGGCAGCAGCAGCCAGCATGGCTCCTCCCAGCTGGTGCACAGCCCCAGCCTCCAGAGCAGCCGTGAAAGCCTGAACTCCTGTGGCTTCGTGGAAGGCAAGCCCAGGCCAATGGGCTCCCCCCGGCTGGGCATCGCCAGCCTGTCCAAGACTGCGGAGTACAAGCCCCCCAGCTCTCCCTCCCAGAGATGCAAAGTCTACACCCAGAAGGGGGTCCTGCCCTCTCCTGCTCCCCTGCCTCCCTCGAGCAAGGATTCCGGCATGGTGTCAAGTGAGTCCTTGCTGCAGCCTGAGGTCCGAACCCCACCAGTTGGAATGAGCCCCCAGATTTTGAAGAAATCCATGTCTGCTGGGAGTGAAGGGTTCCCCGAAGCCCCTTTTGATGACGACCATCCAGCAGCAATTTCTTCTGAGTCCAAGAAGGAGATCCTGAGCACCACGACGGTGACGGTTCAGCAGCCCCTGGAGCTGAATGGTGAGGATGAGCTGGTGTTTACGCTAGTGGAGGAGCTGACCATCAGCGGGGTTCTGGACAGTGGCCGCCCCACGAGCATCATCAGCTTCAACAGCGACTGCTCCGTGCAGGCCTTGGCATCGGGCTCCCGGCCTGTCAGCATCATCAGCAGCATCAGTGAGGACCTGGAGTGCTACTCGAACATGGCTTCTGTCTCCGAGGTCAGCATCACGCAGTTTCTGCCCCTCCCAAAGCTGGCGCTGGACGAGAAGACCCGGGACTCTGGGAGCCGGCGCTCCTCCATCAGCTCCTGGCTGAGCGAGATGAGCACGGGCAGTGATGGCGAGCAGTCATGCCACAGCTTCATAGCCCAGACATGCTTCGGGCACGGGGAAGCCATGGCAGAGCCTCCAACCTCGGAGTTTGTCAACAGCATCCAGAACACCGCCGTGGTGTGCAGAGAGAAGCCCAAGGCGGGCCCTGACAATGTGCTCATCTTGTCTGAAATGGGGGAAGATGCTTTCAATAAAGCCGCTCCCATCAAAGCCTGTAAGATATCGACCCTGGGCAAAGCCATGGTCACGATCTCCAATACGGCCAACCTAGGCCGCTGTGAAGGTTACATCCCCATGAAGACCAACATCACCGTCTACCCCTGCATTGCCATGGGCCCCCTGAATGTCCAGGAGACTGAGGTATCTGCTGTCTCTGTCACCACAGCCCCCAAAGCAGCTGAGAACCAGGACACCAGTGCAAGGAAGGAGATGAAATTTGAAGACCCCTGGCTAAAGCGAGAAGAGGAGGTGAAAAAAGAGACTGCTTATCCTAACGAAGGGATTACGTATGAGACCAGGTGCGGCCCCACAAAGCCCGAGGCCGGGCCTGAGCAGGAGCAGGAGAGGAAGCCCAGCGCGGGCGACAGGCTCAGCGGCAGCAGTGCGGAGGTGTCTGCCTCCCCCATGGCCGACAACAGCCGGAGGATCGTGGACGGCTGTGAGATGGCCTTGCCCAATTTGGCCGCCCAGAGCCCTGTGCATTCCAGCAAGAACCTGAAATCCAGCAGCCTCCCTAGGGCTTTTCAGAAAGCCAGCAGACAGGAGGAGCTGGACAGCCTCTTCTACCACTGTGCTGCCGAGACCAATGGCGTTGGCAGCACCTTGGGTGCCCAGCCCTCAAAGGCAACTCTGGAGAGGAAGGTGGCTTCACCCAAGCATTGCGTCTTGGCTCGGCCCAAAGGGACCCCCCCTCTGCCCCCTGTCCGAAAGTCCAGCTTGGACCAGAAGAACCGGGCCAGCCCCCAGCACGGCGCCTGCAGCAGCAGTACCAGCAGCCCCTTGAACCAACCAGCGACTTTCTTGGCCAGCTTCCCGGATGAGCCCAGCAGCAAAATGAAGGACGCTAGTAGCAGCAGCAAGCTCTTCAGTGCCAAACTGGAGCAGCTGGCCAGCCGGACCAACTCTCTGGGCAGGACCACAGTCAGCCACTATGAATGCCTCTCGCTGGAGAGGGCCGAGAGCCTGTCCTCTATGAGCTCCCGGATACATGCGGGCAAGGACAGCACCATGCCCCGCGCAGGAAGGAGCCTGGGCCGCAGCGCAGGGGCCTCGCCAACCAACTCGGGCACCACCCAGTCTGCCGGAGCCTCGCCCAAGGCCAGCCAGTCCAAGATCTCCGCTGTGAGCAAGCTCCTCCTGGCCAGCCCCAAAGCACGGAGCCTGTCCACCTCTACCACGAAAACCCTCAGCTTCTCCACCAAATCCCTGCCGCAGTCCGTGGGCCAGAGCTCCAACCTGCCCCCTAGCGGGAAGCACATGTCCTGGTCCACCCAGTCCCTCAGCAGGAACCGGGGCTCTGGCTCAGGACTGGCATCCAAGCTGCCCCTGCGAGCAGTCAACGGCCGCATCTCCGAACTGCTGCAAGGCAGCGCGGGCCCCCGAGCGCTGCAGCTGCGCACTGGGCCGGAGGCGGAGGAGCGCGGTGGCCACACAGAGGAGAAGGCCGCGGCGCCGCTGCACGTGCTGCCCTCGCCCTACAGCAAAATCACTCCTCCACGCAAGCCCCACCGCTGCAGCAGTGGGCACGGCAGCGATAACAGCAGCGTGCTGAGCGGGGAGCTCCCGCCGGCCATGGGGAAGACGGCCCTGTTCTACCACAGCGGTGGGAGCAGCGGCTACGAGAGCATGATGCGCGACAGCGAGGCCACAGGCAGTGCCTCCTCCACCCAGGACTCCATGAGTGAGAACAGCAGCTCCGTCAGCGGGAGGTGCCGGAGCCTCAAAACTCCAAAGAAACGGTCCAATTCAGGTAGGCCTCCCTCGGCCCACGGGCAGGAAGGGCTTCTCATACCCCACTGCCCCCTGGGCTGTGCGGGTGGTGGGATTGGCCCGGCTCCTGAATGTGGTCTGGGCTTTGGGTTCCCATAGCCTGCCACACGTCAGCTGGGGACAGGGGGTCTTACTGCAAAATACTGACTGGTGGTTTTGTCATCATTCCCCTAAAGCTGTTCATGCCCTTTGGTCATCAGCATTGTAAAAGGGCACCGCACTGAAACAGGGGTGCTGGCTCTGCTCTCAGGAGCTGTGAAAGGAAGCTGGCTTTGTCTGGTTCTGTCCTGGGTTTTAAACTGTTCAAGGACCAAGAATGCTACTGTCTAGTGCTTTCTATGGGGTCAGGTTAAGGTCGCCGCCCTCGTGACCTAGTGGCTGTAGAAGCCTATACGTGGGGCTGGTAGCCTCCCAGACCCACCAGTCTCCCTCTCAAACATGGAGGGAAGAACACTTTATCTCATTGACAGAGCAATGGGAGGGGCCCTTCCTCCACTCCCCACCCCAAACCCTCACAGTCATGTATGCATGCCTGCCACAGGGCCTGGAGAGTGTTTACACACACACACACACACACACACACACACACACACACAGTGTACACCACACAAACTGCACGTATCTACCACAGTGTCTGGAAATGCCTACACATGCACACATATCCCCCCTACACACACACGCGTGCACTCACACATTCAGTGTACTCCAGCACAAACTGTACGTATCCACCACAGTGTCTAAAATGCATGCTTTTGGGGGATGTTTGCCATCTCCTATCAAAAGGTAAATACTCCAGAAGGACTAATGTATAAAGCCCAAAAAACCAAAACCAAACCCGTTACCATCGAGTCGATTCCAACTTGTAGTGATCCTATAGGACAAAGTAGAATGTCCTGTAGGGTTCCCAAGACTATAAATCTTTACCGAAGCAGACTGCCACATCTGTCTCCTACGGAACAGCTGGTGGGTTTGAACCAGTAACCTGTCAGTTAGCAGCCAAGCACTTAACCACTGCACCACCAGGGCTCCTTGTATAAAGCCCACTGACTTGTTAATGAGTTTGGGGGAATGTGACAGTAAGTTATGATGGGCAAAGAAAAAGAGGCCCAGGTCAGAGGTGGTGGCCCTGGTAGCCATGGGGTAGATGAGGTGAAAGGAAGGTAAGGAGAAAAGGGGACAGAGAGAAAGAAGGCAAAAGGAACCAAGGACAACTTGTGCTACTTTAGAATTTTGCCTGGAATCATCTCTGCTCTTAAATAGCCTCCGAAGAGTTACCCCAACTTATTCATAAGCATAACAACACCAATGAACAGAACAAAACCTCTTGCAGAGCCCCACATGTACTTCCGTGCTTTGGCTGAAGAGAGGGTGGCATGGCGTCCTGCTGTCTGGACTTGTCCTTTGCCATTCTGTGGCCCCAGGGTACTTTGTGTAACCCTAGGCTCTCTGAGAACGCTCAAAAACCATTGCCCCCTGCAGAATATTGGTGTCCTCAGCTTATTTTGGAAATGAAAGATGGAGTGAGATCCAGAGGTGGGGCCTCCCCTCTCCTGCTCCAACTGCTGCTCCAGCAACTGCCCCACAGGCCTTTCCTCTCAACCACAGGGCTTTTTCCTCTCCTCCCGTTGCAGGCAAGCACAAGCTATGGAATGTTCCAACCCAAACATAAGGGCTGCGGTCCATGCACATCATAAACCACTTGTCTTCCTCAAATAAAGAAATCAAATGCAAGGGACTGTGCAGTCACACAGGTTTACATACACACACGGTATGATTTAGATAGCCCATCTGCCCACCCCCACCATAGATCATGAAATGTTGCTGTGATGATGTTACACTTGAAGCATGGCCAGGAATCCTCATGGCTGTCAGACTCTGATGTCTTTATATCCCAGATGGTGTGTGTTTCATTCTTTGATGCACTTTGACAGTGCCCCACAGTGCCCTCACCCCTTAGAGTCTAAGCAACAGACCTCGGAGCAGAGCCCCAGATAAGACAAGTTGAAAATGAAAAGCGATTCAGTGTAGCGTACTAGCTGCTTGTCTCCTATTTCCAGGGCCAAGGGCACTGAAATGTATTGAACTAAATGCATTGTACTAAAAACAACAGGGAAGTTCATCTAAGCCAGAGTCTTCATGGAAAACAAAAATCTACTGGCCTTCCTGATTCTTGGTTGATAAGCTTTCTTATTACAATCTATTCAGTCTTGGTCTTCAAAGTCCAGATTTTTCCATGACATTTGCTACGCAGTCATCTGAGTTTTAGTGTAACAACATGCTTTCCTGGACTCTAATTTGGCGCCTTCAGTCTACCAACCCATTTCGTGATTTCAATGTCTTTTACTCTTTTTTGCAAGGCTTTCATGTTTTGGTTTAGCAGTTACATTGGAGCAAAGAGGAAGAATAATTGCAAAAAATGCATGTAAATAACTGCTTGGAAGTGGACAGCAGGCTCTGCACGTGTCCTTGCTTCAGTGCTACCTCCTTTCATAAATGTTGTCATCTGAGGGTCATGTGTTAGGTGGGGCTATCAGAGGGAACCGGTGTAAAACAAAGGCACCAGGGCTGGCATTAGAGATGGGATTTAATATAGTGTGCCAAGAGCATTAGACCCCTGTGACCAGCTGCAGTAGATCCAGGCCTCTATAATGGATATGGCAGTGGAGATATGCTCATTTCAGGTTAGGTGACCTTGTCTCAATTATTTATGATTATTATTAAGAGAAATGCTGGCTGTCAGACAAGATCAACATAAATCAAAAGCAACTTCTTTAAGAGAACCCATAAAACTCCTTAAAGGAAATTCCTAGCTAGATGACTAGATTCTACAATTACTGAAGAAGTTTAGGACTTCAGAGAAGACAGGTAGTTATCTTTTATCTGAGATTGTTTTTGAATTTGGAAAATGTTAATGCTTTGGTTATATCCTTAGTAAAAATGAACTAGAATTGTATTGCTGGGAAGATAACCTTGAGCTCTTTGAGTGCTCTGTAGTGCATGTAACAATGGAAACAACCAGACATGACTACGGTTCATGCTTCCAGAACCATTTCTGGAGCCCCGTGGTGATGGATGGTGCATGAAACTGGACTCGTTCCATTGCCCATAGCATGGTGCAGGGAGAGATTATGCAAGAAACCAGGAGTCTTGGGTCTTGAGTTGTGTGACCTTTAGGGAATAACTATGCTCCTGCGCTTCCATTTTCTCATGTCAAAATAAAGGAAGGGAGTTGCTAGATAACCACCATGGTCCCTCTACTGCTCACATCGTATAAAAGTATGAAAATAATGTAAAGAAGATTGGTGGTAATGTGACATCCTTTCCATAAGATGATCCATAGTCAGTGGGATATATTCTCAGTTGTTCAGCATTTTTCAGGCATCTTCTGTGCTCCTAGAGCTGGGTGATAGGGAAGTTTCAAGAGGTGTGTGTATGTGTGTGTGTATGCGTGGAGGGGGAAGTATAGAAGACAAGGTCACTGTAAGAAGTTTGTAATCTAATTGGTGAGAAAAGACAGAAAACATGGAACCAAGTGCTGAGTAGTGTGGGGCAGACAGAAATGAAGGAAGCATTTAACAGAGGGAGGATCCCTGGGAGTCAGAATAGTTGAAGAAGGCTTCAGGGAACACTGGGAGTAAGGCAAGCCTTGCAGGATGCTTCATTGGGACAGGCCAAGGGAGTGAAGGGCATTGTAGACACAGCTCAGAGGCAGCAATGAGCCAGGTCTCTGGACCAAATGGTGAGACCAGCTCAAGAAAGTGAATATTCTTAATGGATATCATGAGAGATGAGAGAATATAAACCCAGATTAAGTTATACTTTGAACATGTAGCAACTATAATAAGAATTATTATAGTTACCAATGGGGAGTCATTGTAGGTCCTTGATCGAGAGAGTTGATAAGGTGAGAAAAGCTTGGGGATGCTTTGATTGATGGATTTTCATTGATCCCCCCACAGTTCCTTGCCAGCCTCTCTATGGTCAGTGACACTAAATCACATATAGTGTACAGCCACGAATTGGTGATGACAGCCAGCCCCAGAGGGCAGCTGTCTGTCCTGGCCCGTGTGCATGTAAGCTGCTGAGAAGATGTTAATCAGTGATTGACAGTTTCATCCCATGTGGCATCAGCCTAGCCCCCACCCTGAGCCCCCGGTTCTTACACTAGAGCATCCCTCTTGTTTCATATATTTGAAGTCTCCCCAGCTACTCTTAATCTTCTTCCTGTGGTCCCTCAAATTTCATTCTCAACTCTGTGTGTTACCACCTTGGCTTCTTTCTCTCTCTCGGGCTGGCTGGGAAAATCTGAACATTAGATCAGCACCTTGGCCTGAAGGAAGTTCATTCCCACTGGCCAGGTCTAGTGTAACCCAGCACCCAGGTACCCCCAGGAGAGAGGGAGCGTCTGCCCACAGAAAACTACCTCAGGGAGCGTGTTGGTTCTGGAGTGGACCCAGGGTTTGAGCTGCCTGGACACATGCTCCCACAAGGCCTGCTCTGCCTGATTCAGTCAGCCCAGCACCCAGCCCCATGCCAGGTGCAGGTTAGCATCGAATATTCTGGACTGATTCATGGATTGGTTAGTTGATTGGTTGGCAGCGTGATCTGAAACATTAGCTCGTATTTCTTCTCTATCTATTCTTCATATCTTGTCCTCTGGGTGACGAGTGCCTTAAATGTTGAACCCAGTCTTCTGTTTCCTTTGTCATTCTAAGCACCAAATCCAGTGCCTTCCCTTCCCTTTGTGCCAAGCCACCATCACTGTCTGATGGCGTAGGCTTTAGGGCTGTCTTAGTATGGGCAGCACTTCCACCCTCCTCTATGGCTAGGACTGCAGAAGGCCCAGGGTCTGGAGAGAGAAGCCTGAGGTCTTTCTGTACAGACAGATGCCCCCGTCAGTCCCACACCTCCAAGGCTGACCCAGGGTCACGGATGGGGGCAGAGTCCACTGAGCACCTTAGGGTCCAGCCTCCCAGCTGC